GGGCCTATAAAAAAATGAGAATTTTCTAAAAAAGGATTTTGTCTCTGGCAAATACTACACGAGAAAAATGTCCGGATTTTGCTATTTAGTCGTACACAATTCATTGCATCAAAATGATTCAATGTATAGAGCTTAAGATGTTCATAAATGTAAATCACATAAACTGTAATGTTTTTATATATTAAAAGTGGTACAGTTTATTGAAAAAATAAGTGTTTTAAGAACTCCGGTTTTTCAGCACTTCGTTTAAAAATTACATCAATAAAGATATTGTTGCGTCAGCGAGGTCACGTGACTAATATCACGCCACTCCTTCTCTCGAACCTTCGTGAATTATCGGGAGATTACTAGATTGGGGGTAGCCTGGTATATATAAGATGGTCACAACGTGACGGGACAACAGTGTAGTGAGTAATTGAACTGCAGTCAGAGAGTGTGTAATTGAACTCGAGCACGTGAGACGTTCGTTGAGAATTGTAGCGCGACTGTTGAAATTAAGTGTATCGTAAAGTTGTATTCGGAAAGAATAAACCAGTTTTATTTAAGAAAGGACTTGTGTCGCTAAAGTTTCGCCGGAACGAAGTTACGGAAAATTATCTAACGAACGGAGACGTAACAATATAATCAAATCCTATCGTTCACTCCTTGTGAAAATCGTGTTTTGTTCTAAGGAAAGTACCTTTATTTAAAATTACGTTCTATTATAAAAAAAGGTTTATTTTACATACCACAGTTATTTTCTAATTGTCTAAATATTGAATACCCAAAGTGTGAATTTTTTATGGATTTTTGTTTGTGGTGCCATTCAACAGATGGCGCAGGTGTTTGGGTTACATACATAGATACTGACATACATGCTACGTCCATTGTAGTAAGAATATTAATAATAAGGAAATTTTAAAATAATATTTGTATTGCGTATCTAATGTTTGATTAGGAGTAAAACAGGAAGAATTAATTATATTTGTCATAAGACTATTAGGCCTATTACATTTTAAACACTACATTCTTAATCTAGTCCTTTAGGGATTTTCAAGAATAAAAGAGAGTGGTTGGAATACTATTATTATACTCTATTCTAATTCTTGAAAATCCCTAATGGTCAACATTAGGAATATGTTTTTTGTTTGTTTTTTAATGTAATAATTGTCCCAGTACTCACATCTTATGATAAGTAAAATTATATATTCATTCTTCGCTGGTTTGTAAAACGCTAACACACCATAACAAGTAAAATTAATGTTTTTTTTTATATTTTGTAAAGTTTGCAACACAGGTTTTTAAAGGCTTAAAAAATGCGTTGCTAAATTTTTACTTTTATATATTGCCAATTTTCTATCGTAGCCTACTTGTGACAACAATGATCATCTTTCAGTGTCGGTGAGCGTCCTAATTGGCCAACAAAGGATATTCCAGTTTCGACTCGTTTAACCTAGGCTTAATATGCAAAACTGAAATACCGCTGCAGACAAAATACGTCACCTATCAAAATAACAAGAAGAGAAGCGTCTAGAACTAGATAGTTCTGGACCACATATTGCCACAATGACAGTGCTGAAACTGAATAATCAGTAGTTTTGGGAAAATTCTATGCTACTAGAGACGTTAGGAAGTCCATGATATGCCCTCGTATACGGTATACCTTCCTCCCTTATTTTTTTCAGGTCGACAATTAAAACTGACTTTAAGCAAAGTATCCTTTAAACTCTCGATATGATCGAGAAATTTGTCAATGTTATCTTATTTCTAAATTATTTAACAGCGATTTCCGAACAGTATACAACACAAGATAACTCATTAACAGTGTACGGTGGATACTGTGCATATAGCTCATTGTGTAACTTTGCATTACAAAACAAACAAACAATGTTATCATAAATTTTCACTGTTATGAACCATTTGTTGAGTTAACTATAAATTTTCTACGTTATTTTGAAGTTTGTATTTACATATATATCACAGTGAGCACGTTATATCTGAATATTTTACCCTATTACTGCTCCCTCTGCCGTCCACAAAAATCGATCAAACAAAATATTTGGTTTAGTCAAGTAATAGTAAAGATCAACCAGAAATGGCAAATAAGTCTTATTCTTTTTTTCTCTCTCTCTATTATTCTCTTTGTATTGGTATCGACAAAGACAATAGTAATAATAAAGGAAAAATAAATTAACAAGTGAATAAAACATGAAAATTATTTGTTTTTTTTATTTCCTTCACGGTGGTTAAGGCAATGGACTTGCATTCTGCGGTTCGCATGTTCGAATCCCGTGAGTTTGTTACTTCTAAATTAGGAACAGTTAGCGCGGATAGCCCTTGAGTAGATTTGCGTGAAATTTAACAGTCAAACAAACAAACGTTTTTTTCCCAAGAAATTGAAGAATATAACTTCTAACCACTGTAGTCGTTAGCCTGGGCCTACCTGTCAAGTGTTGTTGATCTAGACTAATATAGGCCTAGTTGAGATGAAACGTGAGAATGCATTACCGAACTTATAGCGCTACAACAAACAAAGAATGCATTAAGATCGAAAAGTTAATATGAAATATTGCAATCTAAATATCAATTTTTTAATGATGGAAATTTATGTTTAAACGTAAAAAGGAAAAAAAAAGATTTTCATTAAAATACCCAACACAGGAATTCGTCCAAGGTTTAGTGGAAAAATTAAAGACGCATGATATTAAATTAAAGTCTTTTTAACCAGCAATCCTTCCTCAGTTTGTATTTCAAACAGAAAGCATCATAGTGAATTCATAAGGGAAATCAGTGAATATGATAATAGACTCGTGCCGCAAAACATTTTCAATTACAGCGTCAGGAATATATTTGTATATTGTTACGTCTCTGTTCGTTTGT